CCCCAGCCCAGCCGCGGCCCCGGGTGGTGCCCGAGCCTGCAGGGCCCTTCTCCCAGGAAGAAGGGTGGGGTGAGCTGGGTTGTGCCCAGCTGTTCCCTGGGGAGCGATTAACAGAGCAAACCGAAGCAGAACTACAGGTTTTGAAGCGGTTCGGGACAGACCGGTTTGGTTTGGCTCAGAAGGTACCTTTTCAGTTGCTGAAACTGATTTGGTCCCTTTGAGCCTGCCACTGCCATGCAACAAGTTTTCAGTGGTTTCAACTGGTTTTCAATCCAGCTGAGCTATCAGTTCCTTCAGCCTCTACACTTCCATCCCCTCCTCTTTGTGGGTAGTTTTATGCACGAAATGAAACCAGGTTACAGGCAAGTGCTCTTGCCCTTAAGACCTCACCCTTGGCTACTGCTGCAGAGTTAGAAGGGGACTTTACTCAGGCAGGTCCTCAGCCTTAATAGGCTTTTCTCTCAGGGAATAGCCTGTACTGGTGCAAGTGTTTTGAGCTCTTCCCAGTACGTAAGAAATGGGAGCTGACAGATCCATCTTCTGTAATTCTGTGTGTGAATATCTGAGGGCTGATTTCATCGTGGTCCACTTCTGCAGTCTACAAAAAGCTCTGGTACGCCAGCCCCATTCTGAGCCACAGTAGTTAAGCTTACAGGAGTCACATCTATGTAACGAGGTAACACGATGGATGCCCTGAGCACTACATGCTTGCAAAAGAGTTTTTCATCCCTTTACTCTTAGGGGAAAGAAGAGAAAGGGGAACAGGAAGCTCCCTGTTGCAGTACCATTTTGCCTTCCCTAGAGCCTCTTCATCTCCCAGTCTGGGCGAGTGTCTGCCCTCTCTGCCTGCCCAGGAAGCCTGGGGGGCTGCCAGCAGCACCCTGCAGAACAGGGTAGCTCCCTGTGCCGTGAGGGAGGGCTCTGAGGGTGACCCTTTTAACATAGCTGTTATCTTCTGCTTAGATTCTCCAAGTATTATGGATATTTCAATAACCTTAGAACCAGAAGAGAAAAAACCAAATGTTAATCACGTGCCAGACTATATCAACGATATCCACACGTACCTTAGGGAAATGGAGGTGAGCTGCTGTCTCTTTTCTTATTTGCGTACAGCTTATGGGGGAGAAATTCGGGGTTGAGAAATGCATCTGGACGTTAGTTACTACTACAGTGACTAAACTAAAGATGCTGTGTCCACTGCTGCCAACACAAGGCTGGTTTCTCGTGCTGAAGCTGATTGTGCCACGCACTGAATGGAAGCTGGAAAGCAAGCTTATATAATGGAAATAAAACTGACTGATCCTAGACTTACCATTGTTTACTTCTGATTTGTTTAGACTGTGGTAAATGGAGCTTAAACTCTTGCTTCCCCACTGGAATTTAGTCCAAACTCAATCTTATCTGTCATCTAAACCTACAGGTGAAATGCAAACCTAAAATAGGTTACATGAAGAAGCAACCTGATATCACAAACAACATGCGAGCTATTCTTGTGGACTGGCTGGTGGAAGTTGGAGAAGAATACAAATTACAGAATGAAACCCTGCACTTAGCTGTAAATTACATTGACAGGTTTCTTTCTTCAATGTCTGTTTTGAGAGGAAAACTACAGCTTGTGGGTACTGCAGCTATGCTGCTTGCATCGTAAGTGAAATTGCTTGATTTTAAATTCCATATGATGGTCTTATACAGGTGGAAATCTTGTGGCTGTTGCACATTCTGTTGTTTATAGCCAGATTGACTCAGGAGGGCTTCACGCTAGAAGAAAAATTGGGAGTTATCCCCTTAAAAGCTTGGCATTTTGAAACACTGCAAGCAAGGTTCTAGGCTATCTTTGTAGATTGTCCTAAATGTGAGGTTTCATTATTTCTAGCTGCAGCAGCAGAAGGCTTCTGAACAGTATGTGAGGGAATATGCACAAGACATGCAAAAGGAAAGTTTTACTTGCACCAATTATTAGTTTAGTGGGTTCTTCTGGAATTTCAGTAACTCTGAGTCCCAAATTGTTTAGTGTTAAAGTATCAGGCTATTGTAGCTCTGTAACTTCAAATGCTGCTGATTCAAGAGCTACTGAATCAAGAAAACTTGTTTGGTAACAGTGCCCAGCTACTTAACAAGTCAGAATTTAAATTAGCATGGTGGCCTTCATGAAATGTTGCTGGTTATCTGTTTCTCTAGTACTCAGTTATTTGCTCATAACTATGTCTCCTGGCAGAAAGTTTGAAGAAATCTACCCTCCTGAAGTAGCAGAGTTTGTCTACATCACAGATGACACCTATACCAAGAAGCAGGTTTTAAGGATGGAGCACTTAATTTTGAAGGTTTTGTCCTTTGACTTGGCAGCTCCAACAATCAACCAGTTCCTCACTCAGTATTTCCTACATGAGCAGACAAATGCTAAAGTGGAGAGCCTATCACTGGTAAGAATTACTAGCTCGGAGACTAATTCTGTTACTGTTAATGCACTTTATGAGCAATGTTTCCTAGTCCCAATAGAAAAGAAATGCTGAAGGATTCTTCAATCCAGGCTTCCCTGCCTCCTCCTATTTTTAAATGTGTGGTGTCTCTGGGCGAGCTCTGGACGGTGCGTACAGTGTGACACATGCTCCTCAGAAGTGGTGTTGCACTGCTGGTTGCCAAACTCTCATATGGCCACTGAGTGTCTCGGATGCTCTGTTCCTGTTGCAGGCTGGCACTTGGCCTGGCTCAAGCATGCGTGCTTGCCCAGAACAGGCAGAGATTGATGAGCTTAAATTTGGGGTTTGTTTCACTGCTAGATGTTTCCCTCTTATCTAAAACTGCCACACCTACCCACCCACTTTGGCTAGAAAGGACTTTTGTTTTGGTTTTCCTGTCAACAAGCAGTGAGCTCTAAATCCAGAGGCTAATTTCTAAAGCACAGCACAGACAGCCTTTCAGCTACAGTTATATTAAACCCTAACTGTATGGTAGGTACCAGAGCTCCTAAACAGAAGCCTTTGTCTCACTGTGCAAAGGTCAGACCTGACTACACTCTTCTCTCTAGCTCTTTTATACCTCTAAATATAAAAGGTTGTGTTGAAAAAGCATGTGTTGGGAACACTGTTTGACAGTAGCTAACAGTAGATGCTAAAAGAGAAAGTAAGTGGAAATCAGTAAAAGCTGTTCCTCTGACTGATGGCAGAATTGGAGGCTTAAATTAGGGTTCTAGTGTGACAGTTAAATGCTTTTCTAGATCCTTTTGGAAGCAGGTGATTCCCTTTCTTGTTTCCTTTGCAGTACCTTGGGGAGCTGAGTCTAATTGATGCTGATCCTTTCCTGAAATACTTGCCCTCAGTTACTGCTGCTGCAGCATTTCTTCTAGCAGGCTACACGATCACTGGACAAACTTGGGTATGTAGCAGTAAAACTTGAGCCTTCACACATCTTTATGCACATTTAGCATGTTTGTATGCAGTTGTGAATGTTGGGGCCTGGGCTGCAGGAGTTGCAGCCCCTCTGTGCTCCTAAGCTACTAATTAGGGATTGCTCCCTATGGCATTTCAAAATGGGGGGACGGGAGGGACGTGCGCCTTTTCTTGGAAGGAAGAGGCATCTACTGATGCACTCCGCTCCAGTGATCCTCCTCAAAGCTGTACACAGTTTCCTCCTGATGAGGAAGTGGGTGGTAAGAAAGCCTAAGCACCAGAGGCAAAGAATACTTGTTCAGAATATGATAGTTTTCAGGATTACATTAAGTCTACGTGAACTGCTAAATCTGAGCAGTATTAAAGTACTTCGTGCTTGAGAAAAAGATGCTCTTCCACCCTACTAGAACAACAGAGTTTCAAGAGAAAGCTGAAAACTCCACCAGTGGTTGTCAGCATTAAGCAAACAGAAAAACTTCAAATGTCCCTCTTCCTTTCTTTTCCCCCTCAGCCTGAATCCCTGTGCAAAGTAACGGGCTACACCCTTGAAGACATCAAGCCTTGCCTCATGGACCTACACGAGACCTACCTCAAAGCAGCACAGCACACACAACAGTCCATAAGGGAAAAGTACAAGAGTACAAAGTGAGTATCTCTAGAGATGGGCGATAAGCTGCTATGTTATGCCTGGCAAGTCCTGCGGGGTGGCATGGGGTGGCGGGATGTGTCTTGAGTCTTCAGTCAGACTCAACAAACCAAACCTACCATGGAAGTGAAACAGTGACAAAACTCCCCAGGTTTTTGCAGTGTTTTGTTGAACAATACTTGGTGTTCACCACCAGGCCTGCCATCCCTGCCTGCACCGTCAGGTAGAAACTGGAGGAATGTTCTTGACGTTCTGACAGTTGGTAGGCAGGAGATGGTACCTAATGCTCCTAAAAATCTGTGTCGGCCTGGCAGCCAACAAGCCCCAGAACATTTCTTGCCTTGTGAGAGATGTGCTTGGCTGCAGTGCATGTGCTGCTTTTCGCAGCAGAGAGCACTTGAGCAAGATGACATCCTGCATCTTTTCTTTCCTCTCTAGGTACCATGGAGTATCGCTTATTGACCCACCAGAGACACTAAACTTATTGTAATAATCAAGAGACTGATCTTTTTAAAAGATGTATATTACAAGAAAACAATGTACAGTTTTAAACATGATTCAAAATTCTAGATGTGATCACTCAGAATATTAATATAGGTTTTAGTGAGCTTAACTATGAAATTAGTTTTATGTGGTTTTAATGTAAATCTTTTGTACATGCAACTTATTAAAATATTTAGCTGGGTTTTTATAAAAATGGTCTCTCTGAGCATGGAATTAACCATGCAGACCCCATGAAACCTGAGACTGCTTATCTAATTATAGAATAAACACAAATATTAGCAGTGCATTATTATAGTAGGGCTTTTTCTCCTTCCAAATAAGCATGACTTGGGCTCCAGAGCACTATTTGTAGCATTTTTTATACTGTCTAGTTTAAACTGAGACTTAGCATAGATCCAAAATGTGGCTTAATGGCCAATACTGGAAGAAACTGTAACTGTGAGAACACCTTGCTGGAATTGACTCTCGTGAGGCTCTTGAGGCTGTGCTAGCTCCTGGAAGCCTGGATTGCCATGTACTGTATTGCACTGCCAGATCTCCGTCAGGTTAAAGGTTGAACGCTCTGCTGCAGGGACTGCGCGGCTAAAATGAGTACACCAGTCTGTACTTCTCTCTTCCGGCACGGAGAAAATGGTCTTGCTATAGGTATTTTCTAGTCAAAGTGTAAAACTGATACCAATTTCATGGAACCATGGAGTTCCCACTTGTGTTAGCTGTCCCGAAAGCCCATTGCTATCTCCTAAAAAATAATTAGTCATCAGTCTGCTTACCTAGTACCTCTTTAGGGATGGATGGTGGAGGGATTAAACTGCAGAAGGGTGAATTACTGCTCTGTGCCCTTAAGAGGAGGGAATGTCTTCTGGCACAGATGGGCTATGTGCAGAATGGTATGGATTCTGTACATCCCTCTTGCTTGGAAAGGCTTCCTCCGTGGCACGCAGCAAAAATGTAGGCCAACTGGTCTTATTTTTCCTTAGTTCTAGAACCATTGCATGAGCAAATTAGCACATAATCGCATTAGATCATGTAGAAGTTTACCTTCAACCTATGTAAATAGGGTGATGCTGCCCTGTACCTGCTGTTCTTTGCATGTAAAAGAGCAAGTGCATGGATGTGGGTTTAATTAACCCATTTCCGGACTGGCTAATAAAACAATTTTTACACCTGATGTTAGTGGTCTTGCCAATACCTTAAAACCACCGAGGGGTAGTACTACCATCTTCAACTGGCATTTGTTTCTAAAGCTTTTTGGCAAGGGCTGCCCTGTGAAACCTGAGCTGCTTCAACCTGGACGTTGATACACCACTGTCCATCTGGCTGTCTGGACACCCAGCAGGTAGCAGTATAAAATCTTCAGAGATGTTGAACAGCTATTATGGTGCTGGCTACTTAAAATGAATTTCTAAAAGATCAGCCCTCTGTCAAGCTGACATGCATGTATTAGACAACTCCCATTTTTGGCTCAGTAACTAAGATCTTGCTGTTCTGCCTCCACCTCTGCTCTGCAGCCTGAGTCCTCCATGACCTCAGTTACAGAACTGATGGAGTTGAGCAGTGGTGGCTTATCCAGTCAACAAAAGTATGCAGCAGAGGCTGCCTTGTTGTGGCCAATCTGAGCTTTTTAGGATGCACTTTGACTTTTGTACAGTTCATCAAACATTAGTAAATGTATTTCATTAGTCTACCATGTTATCCAATAGCCTTTATTTAGCTGAACTTCAGTAGGTTGCTACCAAAAACCTAAAGCTAGTTGGGGGGAAAAAAACTGCACAATGCATCATGTCTGGTGCATGGGAATGCTCTACCCTTGCAGGAGAGGGAGTCTGTATGTACAGCAACGCGTTTGCCACACTTGTGCCATCCGTTCGTGACCTTGGAAAAGAAACTCCAAATGCTGACTGGCAGTTCTTTAAGACAATAGAGCACAGCACTCTTCCTGAGAAACTGGGTTCTGCCTTCCCCTTCTTTTTTATTGGCGTATGCTGGAAACTTTCCAAGACCACTGACAAATAGGCACAGTGAAAGAGGAGTAATTCAAAGGAAGCTTATAAATTATGTTCCCCAGAAAAAAGCAAGTAGCAGTATTTAAGTGAAAGGACTTCAGTGGTTTATAGTATTAATTTACTGCTTAAAGAAATGTCTCGCTCGATTTTCAATAGTTCTGTTACTGTTCCCGCAGCACAGAAAAAAATTCTTTGCTGCCTGAGCTGTATTTTCAACATACTGATAGAACTTCCCTACAGCCTAAAGAACCTGCTTGTTGTGGGCTGGCAGCTCTGCCCAGCATGGCTGTGTTCCTCCTTCCTCACTGGCAGCTCCTGCTGCTGTCATCACTATCATTTTTTTCCATCTTCTCATTTCCTGAAGTTAATATGGGACAATTCCAGCTCTGGGTACCAAGCTTTGACAAACTATCCCCCATTGTTTTGCATATCCAGTTTGACTTCCAGTCATTTCAAAATAAACCCTTGAAGGACTGCAGGGTATGAGATTGTGTGTGTGACAAGAGGAGGAGCAGCTCAAAGAATGTTCTTTTCCTGAAGAAGTTTTAAGGTCTCATGGTACTGTGGAAGTAAGAAGAAACTGAATCTTCACTCACTCCTGTATTCCCAACAGTGACTTTCGGTTATACGAACTGACACTAAGGAAAGGTGCTGGCTTAGCTTCTAGAGGAATGGGGCCTTTGGTGTCTGTCCCTTTCTGAAAGACCACAACTTGATTAAAGCTTTGCTTGGCTGGGAGCAACTTTTTTTTTTTTTTTTTTAATGATTCTAAACCTGATTTGGGGAATGTAATACCTGCAACAGGAACTTCTCTCCTGGTCATATTTCATGAAATACTATGGTCACATGTAAAATAGCTCTACTTTGCTCTTGTAAATATGTGCATGTTTCCAATTTGACTTGGTTTTTAACAAAGATTATTTTGGAGAACTCTTCCTATCTTCATTTTGTCTGATTCTAAATTCCTATTTGAAGACAATTCAAGAAACATTCCTGTCTGCTGCAATATTTAATTAAACATTTTCAGAAACTCCATTGCTGAAGTATGAGTTGCTTCTCTATGAAAGTTGTGCAGAAGTTCTGTGCTGGTTTAAGTATGTGCATTTCTGTTATTTTTATAAAAAGCTGTTTCAGTGAAAGGTGAGGTGTAGAATGATATGGGCAAGGTCTTAGTCACAGCACACCACTTCCCCTGTCAAAGAACACTCCAACGGTTTGAAATGCTTCCACAGTGAGCTGAGAGCTAACTTAATTCAAAGCAGGTTTTCCCATCATTGAACTTGAGCTGTAATTCTTTTCATCACCTGAACTCTGACTCAACCTCTGCCCTTACTGAAGTGAGCAGTGTAGTTTTGTTAAGAAAATTCTGCATCTTGTCTCTGCCATTCAAGTTACAAAACTTGGGTCAGTTCAAGGTGAAGTAGTGAGTTTGCTGCTGCAGCAGGTGGCTAACCATGAAATTTCACTTACATGCAAAGTTTTTTTTTATTTAAAGCTGTACACAATAGTTTTATAGAACAGACATAAAAACAGGACTAGATAGAGGGTGGGAGGAAATAAAATTATCTACAAAAGTTCAGTAATGATAGACCAAATTATGTATTATACAGTATTGCTGAAGAAGGGATGATGGCTTTAAGGAGCAGCTCTCTTCTTTCTTCTCCTTTTGTTAAATGTTTTCTTACTTGTATTTTCTTGTTTCAAGTTGGTCTGCGCTCTGTGAGCAAACAACATTTGTTTCAAAGAGATGTACTGAACAGTTTCATTCCAAAAGAACACAGGCTGATCATCTGTAACAGGGCAACCATCCACCACACTCAGTGCAGACTTCAAACTTAGTTTCTCAAAAGCACACTACATGCAACAAGGAGGGCTTCCACAGTGACCGCAGGGGTACAGCGATATATCTCACTTCTTGGAGATAAAACTTAAGATTAGCTCTAGTGTAGCAGACAGAATCTCTGGAGCATCTCCAAGGAGCAGCTGATTCAAATCCCCTTTTATGCTTTTGGCATGATGAAGATCAGTCAAGGATCTCTTAACTGTTTCAGAGCACTGCAGGTGAGCTGGGCTGACTGACCTCCTAGGACAGGAGCCAGCTGGCCTAGATTTAAACTTCCTTGCTCTCTGCTCTCGCTGTAGTCCCCTTGACTAATTCAGACCTTTCTTGTCCTTGCCAAAGCCCTGTGCTTCCTGAAAATACTTCTTACACTCTCCTTCCCCCTCCAAATTTCACATGACAGTTACCTTGTTTTCTTTGGTAGCACCTGTGGTTCCAGAACAACAACTTCTTCCTCTTCACTGTCCGACAGTATGATAGGTTCAGCTGAGAAGACAAACCAACCAACCACAAAATCATAAGCTGGTGATCAGTTTTGTACAAACAATTTCTGTAACTAATAACCACAGCGTTTGTAAAAGAACATTTAGAATGGTTAGTGTTTAATTTAGAGCCCTCCATATACTACAGAAATAAAAGCTTTCCTTTGAAGAAAACAGAAGTGACCAGGTAAAGTCACAGTAGCAAGTGGGTGTAACTCTCAAGTGGAAAGTGGCTACAATGGTTCTTTCTTGTTAGGGACCTCTTTCACATTTTAATCCTAGACTATTAATAAAGTGATATACTAAGCCTATCTGACATCAAGATAAATAAATAAATACTTACCCTTCTTATTTTCTCCCATCGTACTTGTGTCCTCTGTTTCCATTTTCTGACATTCAAAAGCAGCAGCTTCACTTTCAGCTTCCTCTTCTGCTGCTTCTTCCCTCTCAGATTCTTCAAGCTCTCCCCAGGAGTTCTCTATTCCTTCCCCAATTTGGGCCGTCCCAGGAGTGTGCAATATTGGTTTGGCAAAGCTGCAGTGGTTAAGAAAAATCTTGGTGTTTGGTGGTAAACTCTGCATTCTGAGAAGAAAGCAGGTTTTTTTAAGCGGTCTCTTCTCCCTGAGGGAGAATGTCCTTAAAGGGGAGTTGAGAGGGAGGAGTACTTCTCCAGTTACCATACCAGTCACTTCAGACCTCAGTTTTGTGCTTTAGGCTAGGAATTAAGTTACCTAAAAGCAGTTAGACCCCAAACCAATATTATGATCTTTCCTCTGAAGGCTACAAGGCTACCTAAGCTGTGAGGAACCCTGGATGTGTGCTGAGCTTCCAGCAGTGCTAATGCAGGGGATGGGAAGCCTGACTGTCCCCTGAATAATGTCACAGAAAAGATACACTTCTGAAGGAGGGTCAGCTTTAGTGATGATTTCTTCTGCTTGTTCTTCCACATTGTTGGTATCAACAGCAGCGCTTTCCATTTTGAAGGCGGTGATCTTCTGATTTGGTATAGATTCTGCAAAGCCAAACTTCCCACCTTCTTTCCTAGTCATTCAGTGACAGACATTATTTCAGGATGTTTCACACTTAAAAATGCTCTCTCGTTTCAACTGCAAATATACAAATACTTAACATTTAAAACAAATACTAGTGAAAACAATTTTCTGTTGAAACTACAGGTTGACATTACTTTTTAGCACGTTTCTTAAAAATACTTATTTCCCTTCCTTCCCAAAACACTCACCTAACTTTCTGGTCGTTCTCCAAAGCTTTTTGAATTAGTTCTGTTATTTCTGCAACCTTAACAGCTGTTATTTTACTGCATCTCAGAACCTGTTTGTTATACATACAACAACAGTTTACAATCATGAAAGCAAGACATTTTTAACTAAAACTAGAACATCATAGGAGTCACACAAACACTTAAAACCAAAATATGGCACCTTAGTATGAAGGAGTCGATATATTACAAGTTGATGCAAAAGGTTAAAACAAAAGCCTCTAGCTATTCACAAGTGAAGCCTGAATTAATCTGCAGACTCCCTCAGCCAAATCACAGGGGGAAGAAAAAAAAAAAAGTGTATCTGACCAATGTGCCTTTTCTACATACACAGTACTACATTCTTCTGCTAGGACTAAAACCACATAATCTTTTCCAATTAAATCAGACTGGTAATCAATTGATTTCTTAGCTTCCAAATGTCACAGATATTTCAATATCAAGATTATAGCACAGGAACTAGTTTATATACAAGCGAAAGACTGGTCAACGCAGAGATTTACCTGATCCTTTACCAGCATAACCCCTCCACTGGACTGGATGGTACAGATTTCCCGATGTTTATTCATGGCAATTACAAGGAGGCCATCCATGACGCATTCCTCACGTTCACTTGGATCCACCAATAAATACGTCCTAGAATCAAGTTTTCAAATATAAGGCAACAGTAGAGGTTTAAGGTGAGTTGCTATCCTTCATACAATTAAACAAAGGAATTGGTTTACATAGTAGTAGTTATGGGTATACCCCCCCCGGAAATTTTTCTGTATCATCTGGTAGCTGCTGGTTAGTTAAGGTGTGCAGAACACAAATATCTCCCCATGGAACATCACATGTTTTAAGAAATAGGCTTGTCATTGTAAATATTTTTAGGACTCTTCTATGTTTAAGATCAATTCTGCAGAATTGATAATAAGCTGTTTCTGTCAAAAGACTTAAAAAAAAAAAAATCTCACCCTTGCTGAAAGAAGGCAAAACTGACACAAATAGGCATGTGGTGGATACTCAGCGGGACAGGATCACGTTCCTCAGGAGCATACTTTGGAAAGAAGTGGCCCAGAAGACAATTATTTACAAAACACATTTAATCCTAAAATTATGTCCTATACAAAGATATTTAAAGAAATAAAAAGAAAAAAAAAGGCTAACAAATGTTTAGTCATTTACATATTTAAAAAAATATTTTTCCTGTGCAATTCTTACTGTTTACTACCTACATAGGTAAATACAGCACGTTTATCAGACTTATGCTTGATTTGGTTGAAATACTGTAAAATACTTATCTTTGACAATTAATATTCCCATAAACCAAGATTGATAAAATTATGTATTCAGCAGGCTTCCTTGCTATCCTTTCACATTTCGAATAGCAACACACCTATCCTAAACCTTAGGTACCTTGGAGTTTATCTGCTTACACAAACGTTTAATTCTCCCTTTTAGACAGAAAGAAACAGTCACCCACGATGCCATGGTACAACTTACCACAGTTACTTCCTCTCCTTGCACAGACACATCTGGTCTGCGAAAATGACACAAAGCTACAATTCCTGCTATGCTGGCAGCATCAATAATGTTACCATCATGATTTAACACATGCAGGTCCAGACGAATTTGCCAAACCTGAGAATAAGCATACATAACTGCTTGGTAAATTGTGATGTGATTCTATAGAAGTCACTGGTTTTCAAAACAATTGCATTTTTGGGGTCTTTCCTAAAGAAGATGAAAGATCTCGGTACACTCCCAAGACACACAGTGTGCTAGATTTAATTATGACAAAATATTAACACTTAAGTACAATTTAAACTTTATTCTGTAAAGCAATATGAGTATGCAGGATCTCAACTACTTCAGAAAGCCTACATGTAAGTTAAAAATACCTGTAAAGTCAGATGTATGGACCTTTAATCTAAATTCAGAATTTCTAGTTTCCAAAACAAGGCAGAGACCACCTTAAAAACAGACTATACATGCATCTTTTAGTTTAAGGCTACTTGAAATTAGCAGGTCTCCATACCTTTTCACCAGCAACAACGCAGAGAGATTCAGTATCTATACATTTAGAATTTCTCAAGCATCGCTCTATCAGTCTGTTCAGCCTCACCAGTAACTCAGATTGCCTGTTAAAACAAATTTTAACTCAAATTGAATAAGATTACACTATATACTTACACATATCAAAACAGTGACTCATGTCATTCTTGTTGAGTCTTTTTAAGACAGCTACATACCTGCCAGGCTCAAAACCAGGTGCAGCCATCGGTGAGAGCTCAAGATTGAAAAAAAGTATACCTTCTGTAGGCCGGTTTGGCTTGGGGGGAACAAGTTCACACGAGACTTGTGCAAGAACCCTGAAAAGGTAAATAAAACACTAAGTCACAGAATTCAGCAGGAAAAAAATTCCTACCACTAAACCCAAAATACATACTCTCATAAGGCATGTGCTGAGGCTTGTAGTTTGTATTTCTCACTCCTGACAGTTTCTCATTCAATAAATGTCATACATATTTAAACTCTGGTCAACACTTAAGAGAGCCAAATGTAGAAATTAGAACATTCTCCTGCCTTTTAGGATTAAAAATAGACAAATAGACTCAAACACATGTGAATCTGTAAGTAAATTTTTATGTAAGTGCACATATTCGACTTTTCCACATACAAAAAACGGTTGTTTTATTTGCGAAATAACGCAGAATGTCACGTGGGATGAGTGAATAGAGCGATGAAAAGTTTTAATAATTTTGTATTTTATAAACGCTTTGTAACCTACAGTCAACACAGTAACCCCAGCCCTTCACACTTTTCCTCTACAATCCTGTCCTGGAATTCCTACGCCTTTCAGGCTTCAGTCCTTAAAGCCTGTTTACTGCGATCTCAGCGGGCTTTCAGGCGCCTAACATTCCACGCTCAGCGCTCCGATTGCTCCCGCCGGTTTGCAAACGTAACGCTTTCAAGCGAGAGCCCCAGCGGCGCCTGCGAGGCCTCCCGCCGGCCGGCC